CATTTATAATCTTTTGTCAAAATCGGAGAAATTAGATATTTTCTGTTGACATTATTCATTTAGTTTTTGGAAACAACGATAATAATAATCAGCCAGACAAAACCACAAAATGAAGTGCCCACACAAACGATCATCTACTTTGCAGGGAAATCAAATTCTGTTAAAATTTCATCCAGTTTAATTACCTCTATAAAATATTTTACATATACTTTGGCAACTTCCATCACACTATTAATTACTGCCATTGAAAATTCTTCCATAAACGTAGTTATCCCCGTTGTGGCTAAAGTGGGTTGTTTCTGCAACAAATAATATTTCATCTAACAAATATTAGTCTTGTTCCAAATGATGGTTCCTTTCTGTTCATCGATGTAATTTTTGAAAGGATAATAATGACTTTAATTTTTGACAACACTTATTAGCAATTACAGTGGCTCTCATAATTATGGAATCAGAGGGTCAATTTTATTAATAAAATTGACCCTCTAAAATTAGTTATCTTTGCTGCATTGCAAATATCATATAGTAAAGAGTAAATTATAAGTCAAAAAATATTACTACACAATGCTATTACATGTATAATAAACCAATTAAAATTGATTTTACGCATTGTTAAAGCATGATTTATGTTTGCATATATGTGTATATATATATTGAAACAAAATGTTGATATAATTATAGTAACAATAAAATATTCAATCACCTATATAGAAATTCTATAACGACATAAATCAATATCGATATGTCAAGCATTAAACATATAAATTAATTCGTAATACTGATTCCAAGCAACTTAATTTTCACACAATATTACCTATTCCCTCCATCACTTTCATCATTACCGCGCTTATTTAACACTTAGTTCTTCACTATCACGATTATTACTGCTCTAAAAATATCTTGTATAAATTTATTTAATTTTATTAAGATTTGATTTAATTTTATAATTTTATCTTTTATATTTAAATCTTTTTATAATTATTATATTTAAAAAAAGTGAAAAGTAAAGAATTAGAACATGGAATGATTTGGGATTTGATCATTGCTTGGGATTTAACTACGACTTTGAAATTTAGCTGGAATGTTGGTAATAGTGATCGACATGTGTTACATGTACAAAGTAACCAAAGATGAGCAAATGCGGTGTCTAAAATTCAATTTTTTAATTTAGTTGCGGACAAGCAGAAGCATACAGTTAAATAAACTAAAGGCATTTCTATGACCTTTGACACTTAACCTCTCCTTTAATCGTATATCTTTTCTAAATGCATATTATAGGAATGGTCCCAACCGTATGTACAGTCAAACCTGGATATAACGAAACTTTTGGGCAGAACAAATAATTTCGGTTTATAATAATTCATTATATTAAATTTTTGATACAATGAAACTATATATAAATTTATAAAAAATTCATTATATATAAAATTATAGTAATTTTAATATATCAAAGTGGATGCCGCCCAACATCTCGACAACTCAACATCCCGATAATCTAACATAACATCCCGACAATCTTCACAAAAATCCAACTTCCCGAAATCCAACATCCCGACAACCTAATATCCCGACAAGGCCAACTTTCTGACATAACCCAACTTCCCGACATCATTTTACATTTTAAATGAAAATCCGTTATTCTATCTTTGATGTTAAATGTTAATGCATGTAATCGATCCCCATAAAAATTGGATTAGTTTGGATTTGTCGGAAAGTTGGATGTCGGGATGTTGGGTAGACCATTTCGTTAATATGTACATTATCTAGTCAGGGTTTCACTTTATTAAGATTTCGTTATATAAAGAGAATTTTACTTAGGCCGGCACAGAATTGGTTTTGATATACAGGGGGATATCAAAAGTATTGCATGGTCAAATTTAACTGATTTAATAAAATTATTAATATGGAACTGCCCATGTGATTCTTATACCATATTTGCCTATATATTACTTAAATGGATTTGTTGTTTATTGTTTTGATTTAATCTTTTACGGATCATAAAACATGATTTAAAATTTTCTATCATTTTCAATTTTTTGCGCAATGAGTCTTGGTAGAGAATTAACTTCTGCACAAAAGGAAAGCATTATTACAGCCAAAAAATTAGGCCATAATAATACAGAAATTGCAAAAGTTGTAGAATGTCATCAAATGACAATTACAAGATATCTTGCAGCTTATGAATCAGGAGAACCTTCCAAGAAATAATCAGGTTGACCATGCTTGATTGATAGTCAAAAAAGGCAAAGACTGTGAAGGCTATGGTTCTCAAAGACAAGGAAACAAGGAGAAAAAATCTAGCAGAAATTGCTAATATATATTCTGCTAAAATCAATAAAAAAATATCTGTATTGACAATTTATCAAGCACTTCAGAAGGAAAATTTACATTCTTGTATTCCTTGGAAAAAACCTTTAATTTCAGCAATCAACAAATTCAAATGACTTGCTTGGGCAATAGAAAGAAGACACTGGACTTTAGAAGATTGGAAAAAGATAGTTTGGTCAGATAAGTCTACATTTTCACAGTTTCAAAAATCTGGTTGGGGAAGATTGTGAAGAAAGTCAGAAGAGAAATTTCATGAAGATTGCATTGCATCAACAGTAAAACATTCTTCATAAAGGATGTTTTGGGCATGTTTTTCCTTTTTAAAATTAGGACTCATTGTTCCACTTAAAGGTTCAGTAACTGGAAATTTATACAAAGAGATACTTTCCACTTATGCAATTTCCATACTCAAAGCATTTTCCAAGCAAACCAGAAAAAAATTCATTTTTCAGGAAGACAATGCACCAGTTCACACATCAAAGATTGTACGAGAGTTTCTTCATTCTCAAAATATAGAGGTGCTCTAATGGTCTGCCCAAAGTCCTGATCTCAACCCAATTAAGAACTTGTGGGCTGCAATTGAAGTAGAAATTCAAAAACACAATCCTCAGCCTTCGAGTGTTGGTGAACTTGAAAAGATAGTAATTGGAAAGCGATCCTGAAAAAAGTATATCATGACTTGATGCGATCAATGCCAAATAGAATTCAGGCTGTGATTGCTGCTAATGGAGGACAGTCAAAATACTAAAGTACTAATTCCGAATATAAAATAAAATTAACTGTTGTCTTAATAAAATTTTTTTGTTGTTGCTAAAATAAAAGCGTGCAATACTTTTGATACCCCCTGTACATAATATGCAGGTTTTATATTAAAATTCGTTATATCCAGTTTTTTAAAACAACGTGGTTTGGGCTGGCCAAAAATTTCGTTATAAGTACAAATTCGTTAAATCCAGGTTTGACTGTATTTAAAGGCAGGCCATTCTGTACTATATCAAAATCCACCTTTTTGTTTCTCTAAAACAATTAAAAAATCCAACAAACATTATCAATTCTAATCTTATATCATGATTATCCAATTCATTAAAAAATTTATCATCATCTTATCAATCATAAAATTCATATGTCTATTTTGCATCAGGATTGTTCAGAAGCAGGTGGATTCCTGGCAGATCCAAACGATTGTTCGGCGTTTTATCGGTGCGATTAAGTTGGAACTGCATACCATATGAGTTGCCCTGCAGGCTATCAATTCAATAAAACGATTCTACCATGTGTGGTCAGCTAGAACGTAGAATGTTAACTTTAAAAATTTCGCTTTATACGAAATTTTTATTAAATAGTAATTATATCTGGGAATGTTATCTAGATATATGTAATCATGTAATATAATAAAATATAAATAAATGAATTATAATGAAATCTGTGAGTTCTGGTACCAATCTAAAGATTTTTACCTTAAAATGGTAAATTGTTGTCTCGGAAACGCTTATCATAATTTTATCTTTGCAAACCCTTGGATGGAAACCAACAAAACTTTTTACTTGGTATTTATTATGCCGTTTTTAATGGATCATAAATAAATGCCAATAATACATATTCATTTTCATTTCTTAATGTAACTTTTATTCTGGCCGTAAAATTGTCTATCCGACGTTTATGCCTACTTCTTGTTTCAATTGGTTCGGAATACATAGAGATTTGATTTTTTTGAGATTAGTGCTCAATTAATGTATATAAGAAAATACTAAGGGTAGTAATATTTTAAATATTGGCAGACAATTGTCAGGGAATATAGTTCTTTCAGCATATTATTATCGTTATTCATTATACATGGAATCCTTTCAATGTCTATTAATTCCTTTCTTATTTATAAGACAAAAATGAATTTCAAAAATTTTATGGTGTGATGATTTGAAAATAAGGGGATTTTTAGTCAACTGGCAAAGGAGAATTATCACAGATGTTTGAAATAATTTATTAATCTAATCAAAAAAGTTACATATATGAAGAAAATTCTAAGGGAGCACTGAAAATAACGGCGAGGATTAGAATATGTATTATTGGGTGCGATGGTTATCTCGACAAATAAGCTGGCTTGCCAGTTCGAATTATAGTTACATGTGACTTTTGATATAATTAGTAAAGGCATCCGGATTATTAGTGGAAAATTTTCTATACGAGAGTTTACTATAATGAGAGTTGTTAAATAAAATCAATTAATAAGGAATAATGAGTCGATATCGATATATAATTTGATAATAATCGAGCATCATTATCGTTATCAAATAAAAATCACCACAAAATCAACTATGAACTATGTTTCAGCAAATAAGAATGCATAATCAATTGCCGATAGAAAAATGTAATATCATCATATAAAAGTGGTAATTTATCAATCAACGTACGTGTAATATGTTTACTTGCATGAACAAAGTGACTAAAAAGAGTAAATATTATTAAGGTGATGATAATGATAAAAGCAGAATAGAAGTAACAACGAATAGACACGTCGTTATAAGCTTTAAAGCTCATTATTAAGCATCATTTTAACTATAAAATACCACAGTAAACTTGCTTTCTTTTAGCTTTTGTTTTTCTTTGACTTATTATTACATATAATATCCCTGTGCGGTGAAAACGTCTTAACCTTCTAATAGCAATTTACAAATATGACAACAGTCCCACAAATATACACTTCTCATGAAGAAAATTCCGTTTCGTTAGAAGCAGAAATTCAAAGCATAGAGTCATCTATTGACACTTCCTCGAATAATTTTTCTAAGAATAAAGAGCAAATTGCAATTTCATCAAACATTCAACCTTTTTCTCCCGAGCTTGCTGATAAATTGGAAGAGATTTCCACAGCAAGTCTTTGTGATGGACAGAAACAAATTCCAACAATGGAACAAGAAAAACAGAACCAGAAAAAGGATGTTAACAGCAGCTTGTCCACGTCAGAAGATATTTTATCAAAGCAAGACCTCCCAGGCGCCAATAATCAAAAGCAAACAACCCCAATCCTCAGTGCTGAAAATAGCCCCATAAAAAGCTCATTTACGACACAAGTTCCTAACTCAAATACCGAGCTTCATAGTCCTATGCTAATTCCACTCGACAATACATACGTTCCTGTGCAAGATGAATTCGATAATGTTTCTAATGAGACAACGACTGCTTCAAAGTCTCCGAAAAAAATTGATGCACAAGAACTTAAAGATTCTGACGAAAATAAAAATGATGTTGCGTCAACGAATGACATTAAGCAAGAAATACCAGTCTCATCAACACACGATATTATGTTTAATTCAAAGACGCTGCAAAATTCTGGCGAGCATGAAGTTGCAATCAATAAAGCGACCGATAAGGAACAAGTTGATAATAAAGTCAACGTCTCGAATAAGAAAACTGTTGTCGGAAAGCAAGAAATTTCGTGCATAAATTACTCCAAATTAGCTGAGGCTAGTCCTCCTAGCAATGCCGGGGTAATTGATGCTATTCCGACTACACGTGAACTTCCAGCTGCATGCTTATTTGTCGCTAGGTGAATTAATTCTTTACTTTTATTTTTATTTGGATTTAAACTTATAAATTTTTATTGAACTTTTTTATTTACTCACTAGCCTTTCAACAAATAAACCGGATGCTCAACTTCAAAAAGCTGTTTTAGAGCATTTTATCAAATGGGGAACAGTCATGAATGTAAAAGTTCTAAAAGATCCCCAGCAACGACCATACGCATTCGTTCAATACGAGGTAAAGTAGAAATACAGTATAACGTACAATAAAATTTATTATTTATATTATATGCAAATTTAGAATGTAAGCGATGCAAGAAATGCATTGGTTCAAGCTCATAATACCCAAATTGAAGGACGTCTTATTCGCGTAGAACAAGCAAGGGTTAATAGAACACTGTTCTTAGGTCGTTTAAACAGGAATTTTAAGGAAGAGGTATATAAATAAAATTATTTATTCTCTTAAAATCATTTTATATAACTTTTATTTTATTTAGGATATCAAAAGATTAGTAGCTGTTTATGGAGAAACCGAAGATGTTCATCTTCTTAGAAACTACTACACTGGTCGCTCAAAATGTTGTGCATTTATCAAATTTTGCTATAGAGATGATGCAATTCGGGCTTATATCGTAAATTTTGAATTTTTATTTCGAAACTCCTGTGCATCATAAATTCTAATTTTTCATATAAAATAGAGCTTGAGGCAAAATGCCACTTATATCACCGAATGGGCAACCAATATTGAGCGAGCGGTTCCACGTCCAGAAGACATCGACAACCTTTCTATCTTTGTTGGATGGCTTAACGAAAATTTGGTCACCTCTGATATTCTCAAGCAACGCTTTGAAAAATACGGAGAAATCGACGATTTAAATCTGATAAATCGCCAATCAGCTCGTAATTCAGGTAGGACATTAATCATATGATTCAAAATAATATTTGTTTATTTCTAAGATTTGTTTATCATAGAATTGCGACCGGCATTCGCTTTTATAAAATATAAGAACGAAGCATCTGTTAGAGAAGCGATTAAGAACGAGGTACAAATTTTCGTTACAGAGATAATCCTATCTTTAACAGCCGAACTGATATTTTATTTTCATGTACAATACAGAATAATGCATTGTTTCTTGGAAGAAATATCCGGGTGGAGCCAAAAGAATCGCCAGAATTTCGTCAATTAAAATCAGAACTGCTCCGTCAACAGCAATTGATACGAAATCGATCTCTACAGAATTATACTGCAATGACAATCCCACCACCAATTCATTATCAACCTTTAACAGCCAATGCATCGTCCAATCGACGACCTTTTACTGCTTCACCAAAAAAATCGAATACCAAACAAAAGAAGTTTGACACAAATCAGCAAGCAGGAAATCAGCAGCCAAGCCAGCAACGAGTGGACATAGACACAGAGATCTCCAATAGGAGAAAAGAAACAGAAAAAAACCAAGCAGCTAATAAATTTTGTGGAGGATCAGATAAAGTGGCAGAAGATAAATCTTTATTGAATCGTAAACAGCAGCAACAATCGCAATCTAATTCAGCTACCGTGACTTCTTTTGGCTCGCAAATGATTCCCCCTCCGTTAATGAATCAACAGCCAAATGTATTATGTCTTACTCGCAACAAATGACTTGTCAAATTTTTATTTTTATCTTATTAATAAATAATACTTATTTAATAGTATATGCCTGAAGTATCGACAATGGGTATACCGTGGACTACACATGAAGGCACGCCGCATGGTAAAAGTAACTTTATGTTTACATGATTATGATTTTCTGAAAAGAAATTTACAAACTTTCACAACTTTTTTCTTTTATATAAAGAAATGCTTTACTATGCTGCGCCATTTATTCAAACTCCAGAAGGACCCATCTACCCATACGCACCTCCGGTGTCTTTCATGGGTAATCCAACACTTACAACTTCATCTTTATTCCCAATGCCATATTATAATAGCGAGTTCTACCACGAAACTCCTGCATTAGTTCCACAACCAACTCATTTATCACCAATGAATTTCCACGAATATATGGCACCGGTCATTCCTGGGCAAAGAGATTCATTATTTGCACCCCAAGAGAGTGCAAATAAAATGTCAAAAGTCATTACACCACCAGCAAACATGATTCCGATAGTAAACACCAGCAACACCGCAAGTTTCCAAACTTCTGCATTCACTTCAACTTTTCAAGAGTCATTTGCTTCTAGAGCTAATAATAACACCACTGCTGATGCACAAATGAGCGAAGCTAATTCATTTCGCGGAGATCCGGCCTCGGTCGAATTATCGACTACCGTGGCAGCAAGCGATTCTGGTAATAGTGGGACGATTTGTCACAATGATCCGGTTGAATTGACGAGCAATACGTCATCGTTTCCTCAATAGTCAATATAGCATATGGGGGAATAACATATGTTTTGAACATTAAATTAAGCAAATACATATTTATTGTAATAAATTTATGCTGCATAAATAAATAATTATTCTTATATTAATACAACGGATTCAATCGGAACCAATATAGATAGCATCATAAAATTCTGTCTGTTATAACGGAACCGTCAGTTTTTCGACAAAATGGCAAAATAGCAAAAGGTTCATTATATCAATAACCATCTTGTTATCAATACGGTATCAAAAATATGGTCCATAGTGAGAAGTAGTAAAATTCACGGTCAATCGGCATCGTAAGCAGAAACCTCTTCAGTTTGAAAGCCTCAATAATCACCCTCAATCCAATACTTGAGATCCGTTGAATTTATCGGCAATTTCGGGTTTCAATCGTTTATATTGATAACGCGAACAAAGTTCAGTGGCTGTCCAAAAGTTATATTGTATTTTTGCACGGTAAAACAATTTACCATACTGATCATCAATTGCCTATAATAGTTTATCGCTCTACCGTATTCTTCCGGAAATAAGCACCACTTGACTGACAATAGTTTGGACTCCAAATGGGAGATGGTGCTTATTTATGGGTAGTCGTTAATCAAATGATTACTAATAAAATGGATTCTTGTTGTGCCAACAAAATTGGGTTGGTGCTTATTCATGGACGGTGCTTATTTCCATAAATTACTATCCTCTTTTTCAAATCGATGCTCTCAAACTATGAAAGTATGCAAATTCAAAAATTCGCATTATTAATTTTTTCTCCTGTAGTGAATACTTAGATTCTATATTCGGGAAGGCCGTCAAAAGACCCCACAACTGAACACGTTTACTAATTGAAAATTTCTTTGACTTATGATAAAATTTCGTGTTTTCTAAGAAATTTACAAATTCATTCTTTTTGATATCCAATGATTATTTGTTTCAATAGTACCTTTCTTTATATGTAATTCAATGGACTCCTTTCTGAGATTCGAGTGGGACAACTTCATCAGATAGGAAACGATTTTTGGTGACATTCTCGATGTATATCGCTCAATATAAATCGATATTTAATTTTATATTTTCGAATTACTTTAGGACTGATAACGTATGAATGAATGGTCAATATAAGGTATACCTATTCTCGTACACCTTCTTATTTTCGTGCATTTAATATCTCAAAATTATGAAATTCTGATTTAACCCTATAAATTTAAGCATATTTGTATTTTTTTTTGATAATAGTTATTAAATAATAACTTTTTCACTTGTGCAAATTATGATTAATCGAATGAAAATTAACAAGTGAAAATAACAGAATCATTAATAATTCAAGACTTTACCAGAATAATCGACTTTTAGTCTTTAGAGAAAATTATTCAGCATACATATAATACGGTTAATTTCTTGAGTTTTAGTAAGATTGAACAATATATGCATGGGTAAACTCTATTTCATAAATTCTATATTTAATTTTATTTTTCTAATTTATAAATTCTATGGTAATTTTGTTTCTCTTATTATTCTTTTTGTATATTGTATATATACAGTTAATGAAAATTTCTATATTAAATACAATATTTGTTATGTATTTATTATTGAAAAGTTTATAAAAAAAATTAACCAGACAAACAAATGGTATGTAACAGCCAAAAAGTGTACGAATACAGGTGGTGGTTTGTTTACCTTAATACTTTAAATCTAGCATATGTTATCACATCCTAAAAGTTTTCGTTCGAAATTTATCGAGAATGTCACCAAAAATCGTTTCCTATCTGAGACACAGATAAAACCTGCAAAAAATTTTATTTCACCAAAATGTTGATGGTTGAAAAATGGCAATATTTAACAAACCTCCATAGTTCTTTCAATATCGATATTCAAGAAAAGCTTAAACCTATAGTTCGGTTTTTTTGGTTCTATTTTGTTATTTACATGTATTCATATGTGTAAAGCATGCAGGTTAAAGTATGCTTATTAATTTTTATTTAACAAAAGAAAACGTTCAATGTTAGGAGGTTTCATTCGGTATCCTTTTTAGATACTGTTACGATAACGATAACTGTTATTTAAAAATCTCGTGTTATATTTGCAATTCATGACTCGCAGCAAAAGTAATTACGTACAAAAATAGTCAAATCTGCCTTATACATGAGCATTTTGTTGTATCTATCCATTGAGGTTCTTAAGAGAACTGGCGAGTTTCTTGTTGCTCTTGCAATGACGATAAATCAAAGAATCAGGATCTCGCCCTGAAAAGGATTAGAGTTTTCCAATATTGTCAAGTAGAATGAGAGTCATAATAGTAAAAAGAAACGCCATAGATTGTGACAAGCTGTGTTTAATTGAAGGTTTCCTTGTTTGCGAGGAATAGCGAACGGAAGTTTATTAATTATTTTACGATTGTCGAGACATTCGTATTTTTGAGATTATGAAATAAGAACTGATGTACATTCGTATAAAAAAGTTTAAGTGTATGATTTTTTTGTTTTCACGCAGACGCCCGACTTTTAATGGGAATTTTTTTTTAACAGTATCGTGTATCACTTTGAACACACGTATATACACACATTCTCACTTTAAAGTCGTTCTTTTTTTTCTCAGACTCATACAAAAAGCACAGTTACATAATGAGAATTGTCAATGTCAAATCCTTAATGCGACAATCTCACGATGTATAAAAAGAACACAGAAATTTAGAGTATGCGCTGTGCTATGTTGTGTGTATGCACGTACGCAGTTAATTTTTCGATGAATAGAAATAAACAAAAAATTGTGAACGAAAGAACACTATATATTTTACGATTTGCGAATTCTCATATTCTTGCAAATATCATCGAGTTTTCCTGTTACTTCAAAGACCGGATTTTTGATTTGTGCATTCCAAAAAGATAGTGTATAACCATACGCATATGCGTAAGTTTACAAAGCCCTGTTCATTGTGGACGCAATTTGATCTTAAACTTATCGAATTTTTGTTTTTGTTGCTATTAAATCGCGTGTATTCGACGCAGTAAAAAGATAGGAGTAAAGACCAAACGTTTCGTGTGTCATCATCGTGCCATCAGTCATTACCTAATACTTGAGTGATAATATTGGTTTTTTAGATAGATAGATGCATGCGCTCGTTGATCCGTTTCGCCTATTGCAGGAAAGATTCCATTTTAACAGTGAGGCTTTTTTTATGTATTTCCTTGACTTTTTGGTGTCCGAAATTTCCAAAACGGTAATTAATATCGTTCGTATAATATATTGTATAGAAAAATCGGTAATAGGATTATGCGAAAAGACCAGCTACCGATTTAGCTGTGTGATAAAAAGTTCTAAAACGATGATACCGTATTGGGTTAGCATTCTTCAATTGGCGCATTATCCTTACCATTTATGATGTAGGGAAATCAAACAAGACACTTATGATTTCCATATGTTAAATTCTATACAAGTTCCCTGTCATCCAACTCGCCTTTTTTTGTATCTCGTATCTTATATAATAATAACGTCATCCTGATTGTTATTTATCGATTGTTAAAACATAAGAATATCAAATAAATATTCAAAATACTCAAATACTGCGCATAACGATAGTTACTATTACTAGCGTCATTTTTATTCCTAAGTTTAGATAATTCAAATTCTAATAAAAACATTCAAAGTCGCGTAATACGTATGTAATCACGAAATTGTTTTGAATTCGTACTTGGTATCAATGATTATTCATTGCATTTATGCAATGAATGTGTAATTGTGTAAAAGTAATCTTTCAGAATTAAATAAATCAATTCAATATGTTTCATGATCTTTAAGTATTTATTAATTACGTATAAATGCTTAAATCAATGTAAATCATAAGAATTCATAGCGATCTTTAAAGGGATTTTCAGAAAAAAAGCCCCAGTTTTGATAACATTCGGCTTAATGTTCTATAAATTTCAAATTAATTGCTCCTTGCGCCTCTTGCCAGCCTTTTTTCTTTCACAAAGCCATTTTCGTGTATAATAAACGTGTAAAATCCCACTTTCATACTATCAGTCATTATGATAAAATTCTTGAATTGCAGATGTCTTTTGATCCGTTTTATTATTTCTGAACTTAATATTAAAGTCAAAAAAAATCTTTTAATAGACCCAAAATTAGATTGGTGTAACAACGCCTTAGGCTGAAGTGTAAAAGCAGAACCTTTCCATCCACCACATACATGGAAAAACAATCATATAGGAATCTCATTACCATTTATGAATTAATCTGAAACTTCTAAGAGATATATTTAAAATTGCCTTAATATACCATCGTTTATTTTGATTTTTTTTGTTTATACAGTTAACGAATAGATGTTTCATCCCGTCCCATCCCTTTTTTCTAATTATGTATAATAAATAGCGCCGGGCTAATAAATTATAAACAACTGGTTAAATAATTATGGAGATCTCTTCATCTATTGCCTGATAGATGTCTCATTTGTTTTTGTTTAATTTTTCGGCTTTTTACTTGATTTCCTCATTTTCCTTTGTGTGTGAGGTTTCTTGCGCTTAGTGGATGTAGTAGTGGCAGTGGGAGGAGTGGTAATGGTAGTGGTAATGGTAATGATGGAAGCGGAGGTGGAGGTGGAATCATTTGAGGAAGTATCTGCAGAGGAAGTATCTGCAGAGGAAGTATCTGTAGAAGAAGTATCTGCAGCACCAGACATGAGTGCTGCGAAATCTTGGGTCCAATAAAGGTTTTTTACTCCCCAACCAAAAATAGTGTAAGCGCTATTCAAAAGGTTCTCTCTATGACCAGGCGAATTCAACCATCTAATGAAACGCAGAGAAAATAAATATTTAATTAAAGAGTAAGATCAATGCAATTACTAAAGCTAAAAAAACTTACGCTTTCATAACTTCTGTTATATTTGGCTGATTCCAGGCGACATTTTCAGCCGCGGCAGACCAATCAACGCCCTCATTGCTAAGTCTAGTACCTAAAGGACCAGAAGCATCATCATGAGTCATTGTATTAATGCTCGCCTGATAATTGCTGTGTTTTTGGGCTGCCGAAACAAGACGACTAGCAAAATATGAAAAAAATGTTTATAATAAATAAATAATTAATAGCTCATGCGTAAATTTAATGAATTACTTACGAATCGAGTTTGAGTGGTGGCACGTTATTTGCTTGACGTGCTTGATTCACTAAATCCAACATTTGATCAGCAAACGTATAGTTTGTCGTCACAAAAAGAATCACAAACAAAGTAGCAAAAGATTTGATAGAAATCATTTTGGGTGTATTTGAGAGATTGAAGCTTTTCGCAGAAGAGCTCAATGAATTTCTAGAGAGAAAGTAAAAAAGTTTTAAATAAATAAAAACCAAGTAGATGGTAATATAATAATAAAGATTGGAAAGGTGAGAGAGGGAAGAAACTGACAAAAATTGTGAGGGAAGACGAAAAATACGAATGTTACTTCCCTTTATATATAATTTATGCAACACATAAAAAACACGATTGTTGCACCAATAATAATAAATCGAAATAATGTTTTGTTTAATTGATTCAGATCATAATACATGCTCGTCACCTATCAAATAAAACAACACAAATCTCAAATTACATGTAATACCCAAATTAATACTGTGAATAGAAATGCAGTATTATTATTATTGCGAGAATTAATTCATTTTTTTTTCGTAATACTGTGAAATAGAAATGCAGCATTATGATTATTATTATTATTATTATTATTGTTATTATTGCTGCGAGAATCCATTCATTTTTTTTTTACCAAAATACAGGTAATGATCAACTATTAGCTTAAAGCAGGAAATAATTAAACCTTGCATGAAAACCAATCAACTTCAGTTTAACAAGTTGCGCTAACGTTAAAGCTTATTGATTTAAAAAAATCGTTAATGTAATGTGAACCGGTGCTACTTATGCAGGGACAATATAAATAGTTTTGGTTAAACAAAGAATATCTTGCTTGCATATGAATTCAGGATGTTTTTAACGTATCAGCTCCTTGATGCGCATAGATCTTTGAACAAAAATATTTGTATTATAGCATAAATTCAATTTCTTTTTGATTTATTGCAGGAACATGAATTTTATTATCTTTTTGATTTATTGCAGGAACATGAATTTTATTATTAGCATTCCAAGGATGATTAATTCAATTAAGCTTTGAAACCCGCGGAATATCTTGAACAGATCGTTTACGTAAGCCTGCTGCAAATTTTAATTTCGAAGCTTTGAATTATTTTCCCGCGTCTTTTTCGCGTGCTAATGTTGTGATCTTTAAAAAAACTTGACAACATAACAATCAAAGATGTAGAAGTTTAAGAAATTCGTTAGCGGGGAAAGCCATTTTCATCTTATGACAGCCAGAAACAATGGAACAATGGCTAACTAGTTCTTTTTTAAGTTAATTTACATGTATAACGCTCTTTGAAAATCATTCAATAGAGGATTACACTTATTTACAACACGCTGCGCTTGAAATATTCAAAATTTTAGACCATATTTAAAATTGAATTTTTATTTATTTATTTATTTAATGTAATATTAAAATAATATTTAATTATGGTATCGATATTAATTGAAAATCGCCGTAGTACTATAAATTCACTCATAATTATAGTTAATCGAGATAAAGAATTTTAGCGTACATTAGTTAAACAAACGGTTTACGAAAATAATGAGGAAATTACTATGTATTATTACGAAGTTGAAGAAAAGAAAAATTAGTTTCGTTTCATTAATCTAAATGTATAAATCGAAAAAAAATCGATATCGGGTTTTTTGTTGTAGTTTCGAAAAAAAAAATTGATTGTTTTGTTTCTTCCATTTTCCAAAATTGTTCAAAAATTAGGGATTAATCAAGTTTTCATTGACAGAAAAACGATTGTCAATTACGAACTCGATAAACAAACGCGGAATAGTAATAAAAAAAGAATTAAAAATAATGACATTATTATATGTACAAATATTTAAGAAAAAAATGTCGCAAATGTAGAAAGTTGTACAAGTTCGTCAGCCGAGCCGAAAAAGAGTGCCACACGATGAAAATGAAAAATCATTCCGGTCGGAGGAAAAGAATAAAATCGTAATGTTGAATGCGCATTTTTTTTTAAAAATAAGGGTGCTATATTTTTGTGTAAAATACTTTTGGCTAAAACTTTTTCGACTTAGCGAGAAAAGTTTTAGCGAATTAAAAAAAAGTGTCTTTTAGGTGTGTTTTTTCTTAAGTATATGATGAGGATGATGATGATGATGTTGTTGTTGTTGTTTTTATAAGACTTTTTGTTGTTTCTTCCCCTTTCCAAAGAGAATTTTTCTTATAATGATTATGAAGGAATAATTAGCCTTTTTTTTTTTGTATAACAACTTAATTATTAATATTAGAATTAGAGATATGTATATAATTAACAGAAAAAGTAAAGCTTTTTTCGAAAATTAATTTTCTAAGATTTTACGATTTCTTTATACGTATAATTTCTGCATTTTCGTATATCCAAAGATACGTCGTCTAGTTTATTAGAATGACCATAGCTCTGAATATTTAATTAGATGATCGTAAAACTCGCACACCATTGACCAGCATCTCGTCAAATTCCTCCATTTGTAACACCATAGATTCGGTTTCTCCTCTTGATCCATTTTGAATATTATCGTTAATTTCGTCATAGATATCATACTCCGGGAACGAGATATAAGAAGATTGTTCTGAATCCGTGGAGTTTATGCTTTCATTTGGGGAGCTTGGTAAAGTAGGGGATAAAGGAGGAGATGTGAGCAATTGCATTGTAGCATGAATGAGAATTCGAAGTGTATTTGTGCGTTGTCTCGGTTTTTTAGATGGTGTTTGAAATTCAGCAATTGAGGAGGCTCGATCTGAAGATGATGCTGCTAAGGTGGTTGATTTTCTCATTATAAATTCGTTATCATTAATACCGTTATTAGAAACCTCGACAACAGATTTATTACTGTCCATTTTATTAATTTTTTTATTAGACAAATGGAAATATTTGATCGAAAAGGTCTGATATGGTTTTGGTGAGATCAAAAATGGATTATAATAAAAGAATTGACGTTGATTTCATTCAAGTATGTCGTTATTTCTTGTCTTTGCTTCTTTCAAAGTTTGTTTAACACTTTTGGCGATTAAAGCAAAAGGAAACCAAGAATAATTTTTAATTGTTAGGAGGGTAAAGAGGTTGTTTGCTGTAAAATTTATAACGGCGTGTTCTTGTCGGTTTGCTGAATTGTAGAGAGGGAATATATATTCGAAAAATCGGAGGTCGTACAATTCTCGTTTTTATAGGTATCGGTATTTAAGTATATTTTTTATTATATATGTATATATATATATATATATAAAAATATATATATAAATACACACAATTTTTTATACGTTATTATTAAGCAGCCACACACAATATATTATTAGCAATTATATTAAATGAGGATAAGTATCGTGTGATAAAAATGGATTTATATTATTGGTTTATTTGGATCGTGAAAAAAAAGGGCATAAATGAGGGATGAAAAAAAAATGTAATAATATATTTATTTTATTTTATCCCAATAGTTAATGTGAAAACGGTGCGAGTGTTTTCGTTTTGGAAGGATGATAAATCGGTATCAAAACGAAAATTTTTTTCAGTTTTGTGCGAGTTTGGTTGGTTTTTTATGTATATTTGTTTGTATTTATTTAAAAAAATATACGTTAAACAAACACACGAGTCGTAGGATTGTTAGACGTTAAAATAGGGTAATAGCAACAGTTGAAAAACGAAAAGAAAATTCGGGGCGAAGACTCAGTTTTTCCTGTCACTTTTAACGTTACTATTTTGAATTCTAGTTATAATTTTTTCTCGTAATTAGAGCTGTTTTGTTTGGATGTAAAACAGAACTGGCATACGGGAAAAACGATTCGTAAAAAACGGGGAGACTTGGTTTTGGATCGTCCTACCAATGCTCAAAAGGCAAGAGAGCAAGCTTCAACGGGAATGCTCCCTTTTTATATTCACGAATTCCAATGTCAAGCGATGAGTATGATGTAGTTTTATTCTCCGAATTTTTAAAATAGCATCGCCAAACGCATTTTTGTAAGGATGACTAACTATATTATAATGAACTTATTTTTAAAATTTATTTATTAATAAAATAATATTGTCGTTACATAATGGTTATCGCTTTGTATTATTTAGAAGGAATTTTTTTATGCGTTTTCTTCTGTGTGCGTATTCATTGATGTATATCTTTTTATATATGTATATATATATATTTATTTATTATATATTACTCGCGATTAGTTGTTGATTTGCGTTATAGCAAACAAACAATCAAAATGTAGATTAAGATACATTAAAAAGATCTTTTCTTTAAACAGCCTAGTCCTCCATAAGCTAATCATGACATGACATAACATAACAATACAGGTAGAGTTTTTTCTCTTTGTAATGCGAGAAAGACAAGAAAAAATTTTATCATTCAAAAAACCTGGTACTTGCCAAAAAAGATAATTGTGGGTTGAATGGACTTTGATAATGTGTACCCTGCGCGTACATTAGATTATGTGTTGATTACCATTTATCGTAACTTGGATCCTCGAGTGTTTGTTATTTTGAATAAAAATAGTGGCAAGTAATTTCGTTCATTCATCAAATATCCGAGATTTCGATGAATCAAGCTTCTTACCGTCACGCGAAAGTTCAAAACAATAGCATGTACACGGAAAAACAGTTTCTGCCATAAAACAACAACAAGAGCGCGAAATAAAAATAGAAACCACATTCGAATAAAGAAACGAAACCTTCCTAACCGCGAGTTTTTTCCTTGCATGTCGCAAAATCGTGTCAAAAAACGCGGGGTAGCTTTTAGAAATTAGTGCAAAACAAAACAGCATTTAATTACATTACATTAAATTAAATTTACATAATTTATTTATTTATTTATTTTATTGAATGATTTGATTGATTACTTTTGATCTCTTTCTTTGGCATATTTTACATGGCCAATGCGACGAAGCGCGTGCATGATTGCCAAATGATAATTGTTAGTTGAATGTGTCAAGATACTGTTCTGAAAATAACTATATAAAATTATGATGATGATGATGATGATAATGACGCTGAATGATGATAATAATAATATTCTCAAACTCGGAAAACAATTCGTATTGATGCTTGATTTAATTGTTATCTGAAAAAGTCATTTCATTTGCATGATCATCATCACCCAATTCAAATAAAAAACAATAAGCACATAATCGAAGCAAATTTATCAGATCCGGAATGATAATAATAATAATATTAATAAATAATCTCACACACACACAGTTATTTAAATCAATAATAATAAACACTTTCAAAACTTGGAGAAACAAAATCATCATAATAACAAAATAATAATAATGATGATGATGATGATGATGTGCGTTGAATAAGACCACACCGTAGTATCTGTAAATAATAATAGATATAATTATGTTTATATTTGAAAGGAGTAAAGCTCTGCAATTTAATCACTCATTGTTAAGATTTTACATAATAAGTGACCCGATCTTCCACGAGGACAAAAACTGATGATAATACATGTACGTGTACAAAAATTATGCGCGCAGATATAATCAAAAGCAAACAATCAAGCAAGAATCATACTAATGCCCGCGAACAATATATTTCTCTATAAAAACAAGCGATTCCCGCACCACCGAATATCTTTTTTCACACACGCCTCTAGCCTGAAAGCCATAGACAATAGATGGTATTGAAAGCCTACTATTGTCATTATTTTTTTATTAGTAATTTTATAATTAAAGGCTAGTATTATTAATATTTTTATAATGTGTTACTTGTGCATCTATCCCTTTACCCTCTCGCTAGTGCGGGTAACCCGACCTTTTCCATTGTTCGTCGAAATAGTGACCAAAGATCATATACTTCAATTTTTGTATTTCTATATGTTAAAAAAAGATTAACCTGACTTCTTTTGATTAGTGAGCGAAACATGAATATTCCCCATTTACGAGGTTCATCAATCATTGAATTTGTGGATCGAATTTCTTGAGATTTTTCAAGCTACCAAATGTGATAAGAATTATAACTAGAATTATCTTACGTGAGAATATTTAGTTGTACTGGAGAGTCGCAACATATGGTTGAAGACATCCTCGTTTTCTGATCTGGAAAGGCCGGTTAATCCTTCGCTAATAATAATAATATTCGTGCCAAGAAAAATTGGTGTCAAAGTATCTGTTGAGCAATCGAAGATTTGATTGATAGATAACGACTAGCCTATTAAAAAGAACGTACATACAATGGCTGCAAAATCCCAGATCAAGGGGCAATAGAAGATCAAGGGGAAGTCAAAAAAAGGGCAATAGGGAATTTTTTCATTCGGATTTTATGCGTGGAAATTTGGCGTGTACGAGTGTGTACATGCATGATGCAAAAAAAAAAAACGAGCGAACCAACGGGCGACGAGTCTATTGTTTCCTATTCGAACAAATAAGAGCTACATGCATGACACATCGATTCATTTTTAAACTACATGTGCAAAACTCAAAACGCGAGATCAACTCCCAAGAAAATTTTTAATTTGATTAAAAATAAATCGTTTTAACCTTAGTGGAGGTTGTCCAAATTTAGGTCTTTTCAAATTATTTGACAGCAACAACGACTAACCTCGAGTTTCAAAACAAAATGGTCGTTTTATCTCACAAGGAAGCCGTTGTCTACGAAATTTCTGGTTAATCCGATTACGAAATGTTTGGGATGCATGCTTGAATTTGTTTTTGCTAATGTTATGAAGAATCGAAAAGTTTCTGTTGATTACGCAATATATAAGAATAGCAACAACAACAACAACGACGCACCTTTGATACGTAATCACCACGTTTCTAACTCGCTAGAAAGGGAATCCAATCAATTTGCCAGAAACACTTTTTTCCAAAAATCAACAATAATGCAAAGAAGAACTGATACTTAACTTATCGTTATGTCAAAAGGGTGGACCTATTACAATAGAAATGCAATTGCACACGACTTTGGAAAAGGGGCAAGAAAAACCTCGATGACGCAACAATGAAATAGTAATTAGGGAGGGTGAGAAAAAGTTGTAGCACAAGATAATGATTACGTTATTTTTTCATTCCCTTTTATCGAACCGAAAAGAATGACCTCGGAGACAATGAACCACCGAAATTTAGCGTGTCTTTATTTTTTAGTTAGAGCGTTGTCCGTTATTTATAATAAAACACCTTCAGCCTCATTAATTTTTACTTCACACTACCTTCAATGGTATATGAAAAACATGCTGAAGGAAAATCAAAGTTTTGATGATCGTATGACCAAATGTTTCAGAATAATTCCGTTGAACTAACTAACGCTCGCATTTTTTCTTTATTTATTCATCAACTTTTCCGTGAATTCTTGTTTGGATCCACGTTGCGTTGTCGATCACCCTCGAAGTTTTGACATCGCGAACTTACTTTCAACATAAAAATACAATGATCTACCAAAAGCGTCCCACATGGAATGTAGGACCCGACTTTAAAGATGTGGGTAACATCTTAGCAGATGCAGGGACACGGTTTCTCGTGTAATTTGGCAATAAATTGACATTCAATTAAGACAACAAAAAGTGACGGACGATCTTCATTTCAGTCGAGTACATGTATTATCTATTGTAAACACGCCACAGATACACAAACTCTTGTTGTTCTGTTCTGTGAAGAAAAAAAATAATGAATCCAGAACAATACATATACGTATATACTACGATGTATATATATATACTAATAATAGTAATATTAAAAATTTTTAACACTACATTTATGTACTACGGAGGGAAATGCCACCTTGCATTAAAAGAACAATGTATGTCCAATTCAATGATACAGCATATTTTCTTTTTCGGTTTAACATTAAGTATGAAAATCAGCCCCCCATCGTGTGTGCATTTCTTTTTTGGGGGATACCGACTTTA